CTAGAGCCATATTCATTTTTTGCAGCTGCATAACAAGTCACCACAAATTCAGTGGCTTAAAACAACACACACGTATTTTATCAGTTTCTGTGAGTCAGGATTCTAGTCTCGTCTCGGCAGGGCCCTCTTGCCCAGTCAGGGTGCCAGCCAAATGCATTCCCATCTAGAGGTGGGGTCTTCTTCCAAGCTGGCTGCTGTTGGCATAATTCAGTTCCTTCTACAGTTAGGACTGGGTCCCTCAGCTCCTAGAGGCCACCTACAGTCCCTGGTCACAAAGCCTTCCCCATAGCAAGCAGATCACAGTATAGCAGCTTACTTCTTTAAGTCAAGGCCAGCAGGCTCTCCCAGTGCATGCTAGCAAGACAGAGGGGGGTGTGTGTAACATACTCATAACATAATCTTACCACGTTATATACTATCATTTGTATAACATATGTATGTTACAATTTGTATCGTGAGCTTGTAACATAATCATTGGTGTGACATCCCATCACCTTCACCCTATCCATGTCCTGTTGGTTAGAAGCAAGTCCCAGATCCACCCTAGGGTCCGTGCCCCACAGGATCCGTACAGAATATCAGCCTCTGCTCCCACGTGCTAGAACCTCAGATTCATGAAGTCAGGGATCACAGGGCCCCCGCCCGGGTCTCCATCCTCCAGGCTGACTGCCTCCGCAGCCTTGGAGGAAGTCCTTGCTGACACCTAAGCTTAGTCTAGTCCCAATAGGTTTGTTGCAGATTTGAGGGTGTCTGTCCCAGGCTCCCCCGCATGCTGGAGTCCATGCCATGTTGTTCTGTGCCCACAGGGAGAGAAAGGAGAACCCGGGGAGAAAGGTGACCCAGGAGTGGAGGTAGGTTGTACCTGCTCTGCTGTTCATGTCATGGGGACGTTGTCACACCACAGTCTCTCCAGGGGCGCAGCATTTCCATGCTATAGAATGAAGCTCACGACTGCCTGGCTTGGGGAGAGGGCAAGAAGCTGAACGTGTATTGAGCATCTCAGGGGTCAGCTTGGAGCCTTCAGGTCTGCTCCATGGCCTCTGCATTAATCAGGTCCCTCCACAGCATTCACAGAGCTCCTGCCACGTTCCATTCCCAGTGCCAGAGCCTGGAGACAAGAAAATAAAACAGAACAACCTTGTGAGCAAACAGTTCCCACTAGTGGGCACTAGAATGGCAGCAGCTCAGGGAGTCAAGCACCCTAGAAAATGGGTCATTTGAGCAGGGTCTTGAAGACTCTGTAGGAGTTTGCCTAGAAGCTCCAGAGCTAGGGTTTCTAGAGAGAGGCATTATTCTTTTGAGGAGTGTGGTGGTGAACGGAGGAGAGAACAGTGGAGTGAGAGGTAGTCGGGAAGAAAGCCAGCTTCTCATAAGATGGGAGGGAATCAGGCTCAGGGGAAAGAGCCAGGAAAAAACAGAGGTTGCAGATACAGAAGGGAGAAGCTTCTGGTGGGAGGGCCACCCAGACACCACCGCAGAGAGAGACCACCACTCAGTCCCTGGAGAGGTCCCCTCGGGCACCTTTCAGTGTCACCAAGCCCTTTCTGCATTTAGTGACCCAGACCTAATTATGTAACATATATATTACTTATTTGGATAAGTAATCCAAATCCTTCTACGGAAATGCTCTGAAATTCATGAAAAGCATTATATACAAAAATGTTCCTTCCAGAAGTATTAAAATAAAAACTGGAAACAGCCTACATTTCTAACAAGAAGGAAATGATTAAATAACTTATGGCAACAATACTAATGGGAATCATAGTCCAGTGTTGGAGAACTTTCCTTGGGCCAAGTGCTGCTCCAAGCCCTGGCTTGGGAGTTCATTTTTATTCTAGTCAGTAAATAGCACGTGGACATTGAAAGACTTGTGGGAACACACAGAAAAAGGAAAATGGGTTTCATGCTAAGTGAAAAAGAGCAGAGAACCAAATTACATACATATAATATCATCATAAGTATAGACATATATTCAAACATTTTTATGCATAAAGAGTAGAAGGAAATAAAGTAAAATATTAGCACTTTTCAGTGATATTCTTTTCCTTTTTTAATCTCTTTATTAAATATTTTAAAGGGTTTGTATTCCTTTAATTTTTTATTTTTTAAATTATACAGTAAAACTGACTTTTTTGTGGAATGTATACAGTTCTATGAATGTTAATATATGCATAGATTTGCATACCCACTACCAAAATCAGGATATATGAATTACTCATTTATAGTAAGAAGAAAATCAGCAAACTTTTTTTTTTTTCGGAAAGCAGAGTTTCCAAAGATTGAGTTCCCTACAAGGAGACTGTAGTATTATGGAGCTGAAGAGCTCACAGGTCCAAGGGACTTTGGGGTGCCCTGTCTGCCCAGTACAGGGACTCCATTTATAGTTGTCTGGCAGAGGGTCCCCACCCTGGCCACACTCCAGGGGATTCTGTCCCTGGGAAGGCAAGATGCCCAAGGAAAGCCCAGAAGCTCAAGTAAGGAGACAGATCTCCTTCCTGCCTCAAGGGTGGCTGACTGTGGACAAAAGGTTGTCCATCTTCACCAGAGACAGGATCTACAAAGAGCAGCATCCTCTTAGAGAGGAAGGCCACCCTGGGTTCCTCCATCTCCACTGTCCCGTCCAAATCTCTCTTACTTTAATCTGCTCTCCAGAGAAATAAGACCCCCAGTCCCCATTCTGCCTGTTACAAACCTGGGGTGGGGGGAGCTTGAGGAATATTCTTCAGAAACATCTCGGTCTCCCCTCATTCCACATAACCAGTCCCTGTTCCTAAAGGTCTCAAATCCAAATGCCAACAGGGAGCAGGCATGCAACAAATGAACGGAAGAGGTCTGGGTTAAAAACAGTGGGGGAGTGGGGAGGGTGGAGCTGAGTGGTGGAGGGTATACTTAGTATGCACCAGGTCCTGGGTTCAATCCCCAATATCTCCACTTAAAAAATAATAATATATACATAAATAAATAAGCCTGATCCCCCCCACCCCCCGCAAACAAACAAAACAATAGGGAGTGGTGGGGACTGGGGTAAACCGAAGACCTCAGGCCTCACCTGGAGGGGAAGCTCTCATTCAGCTCCAGGCAATTGTTGCCGTGCATGAACAAGAGCCTGGTGCTGCCAGATTTTCTGGGTTTTCAAAAGAAATCTAGAAAAATAGACATTGGAGGATATTTCCTGGCAGTGTTGTGTTTTTTTTTCTCAATATTGTTCAGGCTAATGAGTTGCTATGAGTTTCTGACCTGTTCTAAGCCTTCATTTGGGAGACTGTGTGCTGGTAATTCTGTCCTCTGGCCTCGCAGTCCCCAGCCGGACCCTGGGCTATGTCAGCAGGCAGGACCACTTAGAGTGTAACAGGTGGGGGTGGCTAACATCTCCTTTTGGCTTCTAGGTTCCTGGGCCACCAGGACCAGAGGGGCCTCCCGGACCTCCGGTGAGTTTGGAGGGCTTGTCTGTGTTCCAGTCCACTGTAATTGGGTCCCTTAATGTCCCCACCCCATGACAGTCACTGGGTTTAACTTCAGCCTTAGGTCACACTATCGCCTCTTGCTTCCAACATGGGATTTCACATCCACAGGCCCCTCCCTGCTCCTCTTCCCTCACACCTTAAACAGGCACTATCTCTGGAACACTGAGGAGCCGGGGCAGTGCCGAGCTTCCTGGAAACAGTTGACTGGCTTGGCAGCCCCAGGGTCTGGTTCAACCCCACTGCAGGAGTTGGAGTCACTCTGCTCCTCCCTTTCCTCTTTCCTGCTAACCAGCAGGCAAGACGACCAGGATTAAAATAGAAAGGGACCCATTTAAAACCAGCCCACTGGATTGGCCTTTCCATGGTTACAGATGATAAGGCACCTTTAAAGAGACCCCTAGGCATTGTGCCTAGAGGGCCCCCAAGTATCCTAAACCAAGAGATGCTTGTCCTTGCTTCTGCAGGGTTCACAGTCACCATGGCAATGAGCCACCCACTGTCACTGGTAGAAGTAGTAGTAGTAATAATGACAGTCGCCAGCATTTATTGAAACTTACTATGTGCCAGATGCTACTCTAAACACTTTGCACATATTAATTTGTTTAACGTTCCCTCTGTTCCCTCTCAATCTTCCCTTCATAAGTCTCTGAATCTTCTCCCAACTGTCAGCTGTAGGGGTCACTGAGAGATTCTCTGTCAGTCCCTGGCTGGGGAAGCCTGGTTCAGACCCCACCCCAGGAAGCCCCAAGAACAACCCTCCTTAGCATTCTCTTCTACCTCCCCCCGAGGCAGGGTCCCCACGCCAGGCTATGTATTCTAAGCACTTGCTCTTTTGTGGTCTAACTTATGGACAAGGAAATTGACTTAACCAGAAATGCAGTTCTGAGGTGCTTTGTTTTGGTTCCAAATGCAGGGCCTCCAAGGCATTCCTGGACCAAAGGTAAGAAGAGGTCGTGTGACAGGTGCTGGGCGAGTGGGTCGGGGAAGGGACTGAGTCAGTGAGGGCAGAAAAGAGGGAAAAGGCTTCAGTGCCAGGGGACCGAGCTGACCCCTTCCCTGAATGGAATCATGTGACACTTCAGCCAGTGGGGCACAATTAGGATGGAGTGAAGTCCTCCAGCCCCTTTAACACCCATCATCAACACCGGGCAGGCTTTGGATTTTGAATTTTCCCATCCTTCAATCAACCCGCCCTACAGAGCGACAGGTTAGATTCTTAGCAGATAATGAAATCCTTTTCCCGTGTAACCTAGCCCAGACCCTTCACTACCATTAAGTATAGGTGGGAGTCAGAGGGCAGTGAAGCACGGGATCCGCTTCCAGGACCAAGTCCACTGGACTCTGGTTTGGGGCTCTCCCAACCTCCCCTGCCTAAAGCATTTCAAATAGATAAGAAGGGCTGGGGGCTGCTAGTCTAACAGCAGCCCTTGCCTCCTATGATAACATTCTCCAGGGGATTATAGGGCACTTTCTTCTCCCAACTAGTCTGGAAGCCTCAGAGCTCCAGTGGTGGCATTTCAGGCATCTGCCAGCCAGTCTCTGCAGAGTCCCAGTTTTTCTGCTATGCAAATGGTCACCTATGCTAAAGCCTGACCTGGAACTGACCTGTGGATTTTTCTCCAATCCCCCATCCCTTTTCCCTTTAGGGACCTCAGAGTTACTACAGACAGGGGACTCTAACTGAAGCAGAGCCAGGCTAAGAATTGAGGGATTCTTGGAGTCCCCAGACTGCCACCCGTGGGCCAGCCACCTCCACCTCCTCCCTCCTCTCTCTACCACCCCTCTCCACCACCCTTCCCCATCTCCAGGACCCCAGAATGCAAGAATCAGTTATCTAGGACATGCCCTTCTGTGATCTCGCCCACCTCCCTTTCCTTCAGGGTGAAGCAGGACTAGATGGAGCAAAAGGAGAAAAGGGTGTCCAGGGAGAAAAAGGAGACCGAGGTCCTTTGGGATTACCCGTAAGTATTACAGACCCAGCAAACCGGTGTGACAATCCCAGCCAGGTGGTCCTGATGACGTTTTGGGCAGGGCCCCCAGAGAAGTCCCCGGGAAAATTCGAGGTTCTAAAGTCCTGAGCATCCCAGAGCTCTGCAGCATCCTGCTTTCCCACCTGGACAAGACAGTAGGCTCTAATTCTCTTGCTGCGGGCCTCCTCCGGGCCGGCCCTGGCCTAGGTTCTGGAGGAACGCAAAGCTGAACAAGACAAGCTCCCCACCCTCAAGAGCACCCAGCTGGAGAGCCAAGAGAGGCCTGAGAACAGCCTCAGGCCCTACATGTGCTCAACTGTGGCACTGAAAGTCTGCCCTTGTGGGGGCCGAGTGTGGAGGACCTGGGAGCAACAGGACAGTGGAGTATTCCCTATCTCTCTCCTACTTTCCCCGGGGACCACAAGAGAGCCCCTGCTCTCTGCTTTTAAGCACTGGCCACAGCAGAAAAGCTTGCAAAAAGTCAGATCCTCTGGCCCCAGCAGGCTAAGGCCACTCAAAGCTCAGTTCCCTGAGATCTCTGATCTCAGCCTGCCCAGGGCTAGAGCCCCAAGGCAGGGCAGAGGCTGCTCAGATGGCACCTGTATCTCCACATGTGGGGCTTGCCTGGGCGAATTCTTTCACCCCAAGTTCCAGCGGCCGATGGCCTGGTCACTGGCTCTCCAGCCTCCGGGAGAGCTCATCCCACCACCCGCCCAGACCCCAGGGCTGCATCCTCCCTCTCACCCCAGTGAGGTCAGCACTCTTTTCTTCTGTTTTTCAAGACCTGGAAGGGACTTTAGGATTCCATGTAATCATCTTACTGATGGGTCCAGAGAAGAAAGTGAGTCACCTGATGTCACATATGAAGTCGATGGGCCGGCTGGGCCAAGGGCTGCTCCTCCACTGAGGCCACAGCCTTGCAAAGGGCTCTTTCCAGCCACTGGGGCTTCCTCTTTCCCAGGCATAAAGCCAGCTCCCACCCCAAGAAGCTGTAAAAAGCAGGGGAATGATGGGAAGCCCAACTGCCCCAGCTTGGCAGAGCTTGAAGGTCTGGTTAATGTAATCGCAGCCAGCAAACAGGAAGAGCAAAAGGTATGATTACACCTCAGGAGTGCACCAAATGCAGGAATGTTTAAGGAGCAGATTTGCTTGACAGACTATGGTAAACTGATGACTTTAGCAGACATTTTCCCATGGCATAAGCTGTGTCCGAAATGATTTAAGTACTTTTGACTATGAAGAGCCTTCCTGCACTCTACTCAACCACAAACCTCTCCTTGTCCACCTTCACGGCCCCGCAACCCTGGTAAACATTGGACAATTCAGTCAGGGGTTAAAAGGAAGACGGCACAGAGACCAGACGGGTAATATAAACAAAGAAAGTGCCAGAGAAAAAACAAAGTACTCATTCTGTCTTTAATTTTTCAACTTTTGATAGGGACATGGGTACAGAGAAGTACTTTTGCTAGCTTAAGAAAACAACAGAGCAGGTAATATTCATAAATGGCAACTCACATGGACTTCAGAGGGATAATAAGGAGTGGCGGGGACTGTGGTACACCGGAGACCATGCGTCCCTTCTTAAGGGGTCCAGTCCCTTCTCAGTTCAGCTGACTGTTACCTTAGAGGAATGAGGATCCAGTATTTCTGCATATTCTAATTTTTCTAAGGAAGCTAGGCATCTGGCATTTTATGTAATGTCTCCTCATTTTCCAATAGTAAATCAAAATTATTTGCAATCCTGCAGCCCATACAAAATATGTCAGTGGCCCACAAGTGGCCCCCAAGCCTCCAGTTCATGCCCTCTGCTCCAGACCTCTCAAGACAACTCAGTATCAATGCTGCATAGACAAAGTGGATGGCTGTTTAGCTGAAGTTCTGTTTTTAGGCTTCACTTCTATGCTTTATTTCATATCATAGCAGCCTGAGTTTCCAGGCCCATCCTACCGAGTTCCTCCTATTTGCCTTACAGAAGTGGGTCTCAGTGCTGGCTGCACATTGGAATCACCTGGAGCTTTTCAAACACACTATTACCCAGGACTCCTCTTGGAGATTCTGTTTGAATTGGGCTGGAGTGGGGCCCAGGCATCTGTATTATTTAATATTACCCCCAGGAGATTCTGACATTGTAGCCAGAATTGAGAACCACAACTCTCTAGGCTGTGAGCAAGACTGGTCTAGAATTATGTGGTCCTAAAACTGAGAAGCAAAGCCCTGAAGGATCTACAACCCAACACCCTTCCCTCCCTGCCCTCTCTTTCCTGGGGATGTTCCCCCACCTTTAAATTCCTGAGGCCTAGGCTCATTTCTGAGGCTTGGTTGGAAGCAGTTTTCAAGAACTCAGTCCCTCCTGGCCTAGAGGGTCCCTGCTGCTTTCCCCCAGGTTAGTCACATTGGAGTCATCAGATAATTTTACCCCTGTTCTCCTAGGTAAGCTGTAGGGGCAGCATCATAGCCCAGCCCTGGAGCAAGAGCTGTAATTCCCACTGAATATATCACTGGATGCTGCAGAATGTGTGGGGCCTCATAGCATCCCACCTGCCAGCCAGTTTATTCCAAGGGATACATGGCCTTAAACATCCATCCCAGTCAGCTGCCCCCTAAAGCCTTTTTCTGTAAAAGAGATCTTGTCTGGGATAATATGAATGGACTGAATTTGTGTTAAGCTTTGCAAACTGTAAAGTGCCAGAGAAATGTCAGTTATTCTTAGTATTACCATTCAAGGCCCAACTCCTCTCACCTAGCTGAGTTGAAGTAGGCCAGCTTCTACCCAAGTTTCAAAGCTGAATGCTGTAATTCAAAGCTGAGCCTCCTGGGGTCTTCCAGCATGGCCTGGCCTCAACAGGTATGCAGACCACCCTCACCTGGGCCCCTCCTGTCACGCAGGCGTGTCTCTCCCAAGTAAGGCCGGTCCTGGGGAGGATGCACCTGCTCTGGTTCCAGACACCTCTCCATGAATTTACTTTCTGTATCTCTTTTCCTGGAGCATGGCAACCCCTTGGGAGAGGTGTTTCTGAGAAAGAATAAAAGGAGAGAGGGGAGTAGGGGGCACAGAGGATCAGAACGGCCATCTGCACTGATCTCCACCCAGCCTGCTCAGCAGTCGGCCCCACTGCACTCAGCGTCTCCATGTTTTTGTTGGTTTTCATGTGAATACATTACTGTCCTCCCGAGCTTATTTTCCCCGTTTTGTTTGATTACCAGCATTTATGTCTGTCCAGAGTCACTGCTTCACTCACCTCTTCCCTCCCTGGTCCCTTTTTCTCCCTCCCGTTCCTCCCTTCCCCTTCTCTTGGTCAAACTGTTCCCTTTGTCCAGGGAGCTTCAGGTTTGGACGGCAGGCCTGGGCCACCGGTGAGTGTCTCTTCTCCATTATCCCTCAACTCACCCCACCCCGCCCCTCCCCTGGCCTGTAATCCCTTTTGTCTGTCCCGCTGTGGCATTGTGTTTTCAGTGAATCATGCCTTATCTCACCACCAACACCGGAAAGTACCATCTGTGCTCAATTCAGAAGTGCTTACTCAGGCCTCTTGCAAAAAAAAAACTGGCCTTCATCTAAATTTCCCCGTCCATAGTATACACCCAGGGTCCTCAGGTCTGGATTTCCAGACCGCTGGATGCGGGCAGTGGGAGGCTGCTCCGGCGGCAAAGACTCTGTTCCTCAAGGAAGGCTGCGTTCAGCCGGGGAGCCCAGCCCTGGGGGTCTGGGCCATGACTCGTCCCCACCAAACACAACAGTGTCTGTATGTGCCCATCACGCTTCGTCGTCTTCATGCTGTGAGCTCTGTCCATCTCCTGTCTGCCCACAAGGGCTTCCTAGTCCTGTGCCGCCACCAGTCTGGTGTGTATGTAGGTGGGGACAGCACTGATGGGTAAGGGCGGGTGTAGCACTTAGGAGCACACAGGCCAGTCCCAGCTCCGTGTTCCGAGGGCATGTTACACTTCATGTGGCACCGCAGCTGCCCTCCTTTCCTTCCACCACCCGCCTCGCACCTAGCACACCTTGCCCAGGTGGCCAGCCACGGCTGGGGGATTATGTGTGGCTGGAATCAGAGAAACTGTGACTTTCCTCTCCACCACTTACTCCATTCATGTTGGACTGAGGGGAGCAGTGCACATTCATGTATTCTGTCCCCTTTGAATCTGATGGCTTTTTTTCTCATAAAATCAATATCACAAACTTAAAGGAAAATTGTTATGGGAAGAATGATCCTACCCTGCTGCTTCTAACATTTATTGGGCACTTCCTAGATGTCAGGCCCGGCACCAAATGCATGACATGCATTCATCCATTCTAACCTGGCAGCGGCCTAGGAGGCAGACACTCAAGTTATCATCCCCATTTCACAGGTGGGAAAACTCCCTTAGAGAGGCCAAGAAACTTCTCCAATACTGCAGAGTATGCAGGCCTTCGAGACAGGACTTGAAGCTGGCCAGTGAGTCCAGAGTGCTGTTCCGACGCAGTCACAGATACCCACAGCTTTCCTCCCCCCATCAAGGGGAGCGCTGAGAATGTCTTACAGCTCTTTTTTTTGTCCCATGTAAAGTAAATCAGTCTTTCCCCACTTCCCCCTGCCCCCCGTCACAGCTACACCCAGAGCAGCACCGGGAACTGCCCACAGGCCCAGGCCCACGTGCTCATGTCCCGAACAAGAAACTAATCACCAAGGCAGAGCAATAGGAAGCTCTGAAATCTAGACGTCACCTAGGCGGGCTGTTACTTAGGAACCTGCAGAAGATGTTTAATGGTGTCATAGCAAGCCCTGCTCTGTCCCTAAGCAACACAGCTCTGATTGCTCCGGCTGCCCCAACTCAGCTGCAGCCTCGAATCGGGAGTACTTATGACACATTTCCCTGCCAGGCCAGTGACAGCAGACATCCAGAGCGAACTCATTCACTCTCCAACCCAGCCGGTTCCTTAGGGCCTGGGAGCGGGGCCAGGGGGCCCGGCTAGAGGCTAAGGGCCAGGGCCCGCAGTGGGGGCGGGTGGGGTGGGCGGTGGCTGAATGACCCTCCCACGCCTGCCTCTGTGTGTGCGTCTGCATCGGTCCCTGTGGCATGAAGACCCTCCCGCTGCATGTGGAGCTGCGTCAGCAAAGGGGTGCCAGCCCCTAGTCCCCTGCCCCTGGGATGGCGTCGACTCCCTCCCGAGCGCTTCTGGGAGCAAACTAAGCACCTCTTCTCCTGCTGTTTTCAGCCTTGGCAAGCTTGGTTGTGAAGCGAAAAGGTTTCCTTCTTCAAATCTGGCTCTGAGGCTGGGGGGAGGCACTCTCTCCCCAAGGCCCCCAAACCCAAACAGGAACACGGCCCAGTCGAATGACTGCCCTGAACGAGCCTGGCCTCGCCAACCCTGAAAACTGGGCCTCTGGACCTTGCTCACCTCCAGGCGTCGGGCGGGGTTCCCGGGGCTCCCCCTGGCATCAGAACCCTCACCTCTCCTTTCCTTCACCTCCGCAGGGTACTCCAGGACCAATTGGAGTTCCAGGCCCAGCGGGACCAAAGGGAGAGAGGGTGAGTGCTCAGTGCTCCTCAGCCTCGGGTCTTCAGCCCTGGCGCCTGTGACTTGCAATGTCACTGCATCAGCCCCAGCAGCCTCGGCCTCATCCGTTCCTCCTAAACCCAGCAAGCCCCTCATCCCTGTCTCCCCCTGGTGACCGTCCCAACAGCCCATAGGTGAGTGGGCAGGCCCCAGGTGCTCAGTTTGTAGCTACAAGTGGACAAAGACCTGGAGAGCTTCCCTTACTCAGCTCCTGGTCATCTGGCATCAGTCACAGGTGACTGGCAAGGCCCCAGGTGCTGCTGTCACTGGCCACACCTAAACTCTGCAATGATTTAGGCAGACAGCATGACATGGAGTGACAGATGGTGTTAGAAATCTTGGCAGACATCAAGAAGCCAGGAGGCCGGTGCACAAGCAGGCTCCCACCATCACACCTCCCCGAGCTCTAGCCAGTGCGATGGGCGTGTGCAGGGGTGGAAAGCATTGGCTCCGTGAAGGCGAGAACTCCTCACATCAGCTCCCCCCAGCCAGGTCCCGGTTCCACATCCTCAGGACCGCTAGAGGGCCAGCTCAGGCGCTGGACCTCTGAGTGGGCAGCTGCTGGGTTCCCCAGCAGCCGGTGGGAGCAGCCTTCCCTCTCACCATGCGCCCACCTTGCCGGTTCTGCCGTGGGGGAGACTCTGTTCCTCTCTCAGATCACACAGCTGGAAGAGGCAAGGGCAGGCAGCTTCTGGAGAGAGGCACAGGCTTCCCTGAGGTCACCAGCCACTTGAGGAACCAGGATGGCTACTCTGAGGAGTGACACTTGCAGCTTCAAAGAGAAATGGCAGCCCCCCCCTTCGCTTTCTCTCTCCTCTGCCTCCCTTGTCTGCGCCCATTCCTGTCCTGTGTTCTCTGCTGCTTCTGCCTTTGGCCAGCCAGTACCCCCCAGACACTGTCCAGTCCTTCCGGAGGGCCTTGGGGGATAGGCTTTGTGGAGAGAGGAGAAGAGGGGCTTCTGAGCCCCCTCCTCGGGGCAGAGCCCACACCAGTCACCCCGCCCTCACCCCACGCTTCACCTAGCCCTTGCTTCCTGGGGGGCTCTTTGAAGGGACTAGGCAGGTTTCCCAGGTTTTGTACAAAAACAGAAAATGGTCGACGGAAGGCTATTACCATGTCAAGGAGGGTCACGTGTTCTTGTTCCTGTTTCAGGGCAGCAAAGGCGACCCCGGGATGACAGGACCAACAGGAGCAGCTGGGCTTCCTGTAAGTCTCATGGGCTCAGAGGTTTCTTCTCACCCACCCCTGTCCCTCACAGAACCACTGTCTAAACACCCAGAGCCTAGGGCAAAAAAGCCTAGAGCCGAGCGAGAATTCTAACTTCTCTGACAGAGGAAGCAGCCAGCAGCCCCCAGCCCAGTCTCTAGAACTTCCCTGCCGGGCACTGCTCGAGGGGACACGACCCGTTAGGAAACCAGGTCCTCAGCCATGTGGAACATCTGCGAGATGTGGTGAACCCGGATGAGCACCTTCTGCCACAAGCCTCTGTGTTCTATGCAGCGGGGGTCCCACAGGTGAATGTACCATGGCCCCTGCCCTCAAGGAGGGACAGGATCGAGTCCAGATCACTATAAGGCAAGGAGACACTTCCCAAGACAGGAAGCTTTCCCATGCAGGGGACTGGCTTTCCATTTGCAGCGGATTTCCCCTTGCGTGGTTAGTAAAGCTGACTGCCTAAGAGAGCCAGGACTTTGGCTCCCCACCCCCTTGAAGATGGTACCTCTGTCTATTCATGGGTTCCATGCTCAGCTGTGCTTTGGCTAAGTAGGCACCTCTGGCCGGTCTTTGCCTTGTGTCCACCCCCCAGCTAAAGCCAAGGGGAATGGCCTGCACCTTGACAAGAGGGGCTCTGGAGTCATTATTCTAGCAAGAGTCTGGCAGGAGAGCCATGCAAACATCTGCTCTTCCAGGAGAAGTCTGCGCCCAGACCGTGTCCTTGGATGAGCCATCTAGAAGACCTCGGCCGCAGGCCAGGGCACTGGCTGCAGAGCCAGAAAACCAGAACTGTTTGGCTTTCCCATAATTCATTGTCTGTCTCGGGGTCAAGTTCCTTGAGCAGTTTTCTCCTTTGTCCCCCTTCCGTAAAATGGGGATAATTAAACCAGTCTGCGATGAATGAGGCCCAGTAAAGAGCTTTATGAGCCTGGAAGGGAGGACTGTGTGGACATTCTGTGCTTTCTTATTACTGTGTCTTTGTTTCTCTGATTTACTGCAGGGTTTGCACGGACCACCCGGGGATAAAGGCAACCGGGTGAGTCTTGAGTCCTTGCGCTCTGGCTCTCGTTACTGACGTTCTCATGGTGAGGTGGAATGACCAACTGGGGATTCCTGACCCAATATGGAAGGAAGTACAGTTTTTCCTGATAAATCACCCTAAATTAAAAGGCTTTATAGTGAGGGGCTTAATCCGTGGCATGCAGGGAGCCCAGGACCTACTCCTGAAATGGAAGCACATCTTTTTCCATGAGGAAAGGGGAGGCTGAATCCCAGGGTGGCTGTCAGATTAGCACTGCCATCCAGGACCAGGAGCCGCCCGCCTGGCTCCCTGGACGGAGCCCTGATGATGGGCCTCTAGATGGTATTTTTATACCCGTCCTTGCCTAGTCCTGGCCCCCTGACACTTAGTCTCACTAGGCATCCCAGGCCACTTGGGGGGAGAATACCTCGCAGGTCCAAGGACAAGCAGATAATTGTACGCAGCCAACCGTTTTAAAAACGACCCCAGCTGTTATTTCTCTTGGCAAGAGTCGGCAGGACTACGACACAAACTGTGCCTTCCAGGGCCCCCTGCTCTCCCTTGGTATCTGCCTTCTTCATCAGGACACAGTTACTGAGTGTCCACAGCACCCAGGGCCACGCGATGCTGTACGATACATGCTGTGTGTATGGCACACTTGGGCCCAGCAGCCATCATCTCACTACTTCTGACCAAGGGATGACCTTTGGGTTCCTTTCTGGAGCATCTCATGCATTGGCTGCCTCATCACAGTGGTTCTCATGGGGACGCACGCCCCCTAGAGGCCCAAGAGCATCTTCTAGTGGGAATAATATCCAAGGATCTTAGAGGTAGAAGAGGTAGAAGAACAGATGGAGAAACAAGGCCCAGAACGATGATAACATGTTCTGAGTTCCCACAGAGGGTCAGAGACAGAGCAGGTGGCTTCCAGAACCCAGGTCTTCTGGCTGACCTTTGAACACTGGTAACTGTTCATGAATAGAACCTGCCAGAATCTGTGTTTATATCTGGCATCAACTGTAATTTAAGATGGATTTATTGAACACTTCCATATTCCTAAATTCGCCTTTCTGGCAGCTCATCAAAATCAGTCAATTTGTCCCATATAATCTATGAACAAGAGCAAGCAGGCAGACCTCCCCCTACCAGACTGTCCATGGGAAGACCATGTCTAGAAACCACTGGAATAAACAGACCTACTTCCAGAAACGTGCCATCCTGTTCAGGCAGCTGGGAAGCCCACCTTCATTACTGTGGCATCAAAGAATTTAGACCACTAAAATAATTGATCATTCCACCTCTCAGTTGGCATACTCACTAACCTCCTTTCTGATGTATTTCTAAAGTGTTCTTGTTTTCTTTGTTACATTCAATTAACACCTATTAAACCTGTTTCTTAAGACTTTTCCAGTTGGCTTGAGGCACAGGGCCATTTGAAAGTCTGCAAAAACCAGTCCTTCCAGTGTCAGGTGGCAGTGGCCGTGTTGCTCTAGAGGTGGAGATGGGGCAGGGGCCCTTGTGACAGATGGAGAGGAGGTGGGAGGCTGGTGGCTCTGACACTTACTTAAGGAACTGAGGTCACTGAATGAGCTGCTGAGGCCCCACGATTCAGTGGGAAAGCATTCCTTCTCCACTTCCCCTTTCTAAGGTATTACACATTCTCCCCCATCCCACAGGTAAATTAGCAGTATGTCACTTAGTAAAAAGTCAGGTCCAGAAAACAGGCAGGCTGCATGCATCTTCCCTTGAGTACACCACAAAGAACCTGTTGACTTATTACAAAGGGCAGGTTTCCACATCAAGGACTGGCTTTTTCTTCCGTCCAAGAGTTCTGACTCTCAGGAGGCCAGAGTGTCCTAGAAGAGCACCCCCTACGTCCCGCCTCCCCTTTCAGGCCACTTTATGCCACCCGTCCTAACAGGACTTCTGGGGGGAGCGATGAGGGCTTGGTGATAAGGCCTCCAAAATGAAGAGAGGTCCATGCAGAGTCAATGCTTTGCCATGACCAGCTTTTCTGGTGCTTGGAAGCTCAGAATGTTGACACTTTGGTCCAGGTAAAAGGCCAGAATTGCTGAGAGGACATTCTGGCTGGAAGCTTCATTGTTGCTTGTGGAGGCAAAGCCAGGAGAGTCTGAAGCCCCTGTGCCCACCGGGCATGGAAGGGCGGCTCCTGAACTTTGCCCCCATCACTCCCAGGGAACCCATCAGAGAGGCTCCAGCAGGTGCCGCAGCATCTGTGGTCCTATCTTACCATGAACTGAGACACATCTTTACAACAGGGCTTCTTCAAGTCCCGCCAGAGGGCGGTCTGGGAGTGTCGTTCCTGCTCACGGGAGGAAAGAGGTCCTTGTAGGGGTGGGCAAGGGCCAGAGCCCAAGACAGGCAGTTTTCTAAGGGGACACACATCCCAGGGAAAAGGTGTCTATCCTTGTCACTAGAGACATTCTCCTTGTCCCTTAAGAGCCCTGTGAATGTGGCCAAGGAGCCGTGTTTAGGATGAAAAGTATAAAGGGTGGTGTGAATTTGGCAATTTGGGCATCAGGGAAGTCGGACAGTTACTGTGGAGCTGCCTGCAACCAGCCAACTGAAAAGTCTGAGTGCGTGCGGTGAGGCTGCAGCCACTCTCCAGGATGTGCTGTCTGGGGTGTGGGGTGGGGGGGGTGCATGTGTGCATGTGTGTGTATGTGTGTGTGGTGCTTCCCCAGGCCCCCTTGCCTCCTTCCCTCCCCTTCCTCTACTCTCTCGGCCAGGCCTGCTTCTTTCTTCCTTCCCCCACTCAATATTTCTCCCTCTAGATATATGCACCCATTATAATAACTGCACATCCCTCATCCTGTCCCTTCCACTCTCCCAGCTTCAATTTACATCCTCTAAAATCAGGTTTATATTTATTTTTAAAGAAACATCTGCTGCTGACCTTATTTGCCCCCTTCTGTACCAGCCAGAACTCTCCTCTTCCCCTGGGCTCTTTCGTGTCCCTCCTTGAGGGCCAGGGTGGGGCAGGGAGGATGTAGGTGCAGTTACTGCTGCAATGTCTCCAAGGGGCGCCCAGTGAAGGCCACTTCCTGTGCCCTTAGAACATGACAGCCCAGAGTGCAAGTTTCCCATCCTGAAAGGACCATGGCTGACCCTCTTACCCACGGGCACGTCACTGGGACCTGAACCCCACTCCCCAAGAGTTTCACCTACCCTCTAAACTTAGGAAACTGTGCTCACTTCTGCACTGGCCTGCCCCAGGGACAATAAGGAGCCACATTCCCGAGAAAGTTTACCCCGGGACTTCCCCGTCCAAACAGCTAGTGGTTTTACTTGTCCAGCGTCTGCAGATGAATTGCGCTGTGATATCCTCATTGGTGGGCGTATCCTAGAGCCAGTGCGATGGCACCTAATATGCATGTTCATGGTTCCTCTCAAACATATCTCATTTTCTAAGCAAGCATTTGCATTTTAGACAACTCACTTAGAATGATGTGTTGGCAGTGGCAGGCGACCTCTGGAATCAAAAAATTGGGGTAATTTCCAAAGACATAGAGAAACATTAAAAGTTGTTTTAATCCACTGCCTCCCTCTAAGAAGCCC